CCATAAACAAGTATACGGTATACAGCTCTCTCTCTCTCTCTCTCTCTGTTGCGCGTGAAAAGCCTATTTTATCATCGGCTCTTCTTCGGTTACGCTCTTTGACAGCTATACACAGCTACATATATACAACAACGATACAAACAAGTTTAGATACAGCCCCTATAGGTCTTCCTCGCTTTTCCACGCGCGCGGGACACAAAGTTGCGCCTCGCCCTGTCACACACAGCGCAGTATTCTATATAGAGCCAGCGGCGGCGGCGGCAGCAACAACGCGACACGACGAGGGCGTTAATTAAACCTGTAGAACAACTGATCTGAGCGCGTATAGAGAGATACGCGTACACGTAGCCCAGCACACGTATACATATACAGACTCGACTATTTCAGCCGCTTAACAAACGAACCAATTAAATGCAACATTGAAAAAGTCGCCTGTATACACACACGTATAAACAAAACGGAAAAACAAACTACGAAACAAAACACGGTCTCTCTCGGCAGCTCGACGCACGCTATAACACGCTCGCATTCTTTCGGCGCTGCTGCCGGCCCTGCTACAACAAATCAGAGTGCCAAATGGACTTTGCTCAGTTGCAAATAATTAAACGGCTTTGAAAGGCGAGCTAAACGCGTGCGAGGAATAATGTAGGCATATACACCGAGCGGTGGCGGCGGCTATGTCGCAGGCGTTGATGCACAGCCTACACACACACACACACACACACAACAGTCGCTTAGGATTAAAACTGCGTCGAGCTTTGAGCCGATTTCCGCGTAGATACCTAGAGAGATGCGTACACACATACATCTTTAAAAAGCTCAGGCGCGCGCTTATCGCCAGTGATTAGTAGGGCGCCGATGTTTGTGCTCGGGCTTATACGACGCACACACAAACACACACACAAACAAAAGACACATTCCCTGAAATTTACGCGCGAATTTAAGTCGTATAACCGTATATTTCAGATTTTTCCACCCATATCACACGTGCGTAAATGTGTGCGTGTGTGCGTGCATGTGTGAATTTTCATTAGCGCAGATCGTGCCGACAATGCGAGCGACGCGCGACGTGCTCGAGAGAGAAATACTTTTATTTTTTACTGCACGATTCGAGGCGGCTTTTAGCGCGCGACGATCGGATCCATTGAAATCGGGCAAAATTACCCGGCCACTCGCGCGGCACGCATTGTCATTGCTGCAGGCGCGCGGGGCTGTAAAAATCGCGCGCTCCCTACGATCTCGAAATGCGCCCGATTATATTATGCAAAATCATCGACACGCGCAACTAGTTTCCCATCGGAGCGTATAAAAACCTTCTCTCTCGCCCTCCTTTCCGCAGGAGGAGAGCTGCCTCCCTCCCCCGCACGTCGTCGCTACAGCGAATTCAATTTCGCGCCGCGAAAGCTTCATTTTGCGCTCGTTCGAGCTCGGATGTATGTATACTTTTGTTTCAATATCCATTATGCGCGGAGGCGATGTACGCGGGATGCGCTGGAAATATCCCAAAGCCTGCCGATGATGGGGTTTTCTGCCGAGCCGCGGTTATTCCATTAGTCGATATTACCGCGCGCAGCGGCAATCTTCGCTGCGGCTCGAGCTTTTCGCCTCGTTCGTTCAAGAAAAAAAAGGGTTATTTCGCCGAGTCGATCGTGGGGTGGCGTGCATACCATTAGCCGAGTAATTCATTCCGATCAAAGACCAAATCGAAGAAAGTCAAATACGACGAGTCGTCATCGATGTCCATTAAGATTATTACTTTCATCCGGCGGTGGATCCCTCCGAATTATCCTCGCAAGCTCCACTAAGGGCAGCACTGGAATGTATCCGAACGTTTAGATAAGTTATTTTCGGTCTTTGGAATGCAAATAATATTCCTAAGCCTTGTACGCGCGTGGACGTGGAAAATATTTCACTTTCGTCCAACTTTCACCGCAGCTCCACGGATATTTATCACGGAACGCATTCCAATAAAACTCGCTCTCTTTCTATATATGCACGTTCGACCAAAGAGTGTAAAAGAGAGCTTTGGCAAAAAAAGTCAGCTTCCATCGCGCGAGCTCAAAAGTCCAATAAGCGTCTGGTTCGCTACGCGTCACCTTATCTTTTTCGCGCGTTCGGCAACGAAGTGAGAGAGAAAGAGAGTGAGAATTGCGGGAGACTCTATATATGACACAAACAAACGAGGGGTGCCACAGCTAGAGCGTGTGATTTTTGCTACAGTTCGGGAGCTCGTTAACGAATTCCCGGCGAGCCAATCTCGTTTCTAGTCAGCTCTCTCTCATCAAAGTGGAGTTTCTGAATTTAATTTCTTCGACTGTGCTCGCTAGGCGAGCGAGAGAGACCCGAATCAAAAAGAGAGAAAAGCGTAAGGAAAAAAGGGAAAAACGCCGATGGCATTTCGTTATTGCGTGAAAAGGAAGAAGACGGAGGGTAGTAGTGGCAGCAGCAGCAGCGGCTCATGTGTCACAAGCCACCTTCGAAAGGTTGCGTCAAGTCGTCGGTACAGCTATCAATCCATCGTCGTGCGGCTTTCTTGTGGTCTCTCTTTGTTTTGTTTTTTGCGCCCTCGACTTCTCTCGTCGGAGCTTTTCGATTTAGAATTGAAGTATGTATGTTTAATATAGAACGACAGGAACGATCGTGTGTATATGCGGTTAATTTGATTTTCTCCGCGTCAATTCCGATGCCGATGCCGTACAGCATATTACGTGTGTGTAGTCACATCACAATTCTGTATGTTTTTTTTTTTTGGTTTTTTGCGCATTGGAGCATCGATGGGGGCGCCAATACGAGACAGAGAGGGTGGTGCCCTCGTGTCGTCGTTATTAGAAAGCAATTTTGCAACCGTGGGTGTGTAACATAGCGGTACTTGAACGTCAATATTTCATTGCCCAGAAAATTGGGTTACGATTTTTTTTTGAAGTAGTACTTAAACATTTTACGTTCGATCAATCGGCTTTTGTTCTAAAAATAATCGCGCGGGTATGAGTAATTGAAATTAAAATGCTAATTGATCATTCTTAATGTAAAACCTGGCGAACGAAGTAGTATTGCGAAAAATAAAAGGGAGGAGGAATAGAAAAACCATCAGGCTCTTTAAGTAAATTTGCCTTCTTTTCTCTCTCTCTCTCTCTCTCTCTCTCTCTCTCTCTCTCCTCTTGACTCTTGTAAAAACTGAACTGGATGCGCGCACAGTAGCTTATACTACCATCAGGTAAGCAAAAAAAATTGAAAGCTTCATGAAAAGGAGGGAGAGGGGAAAAAGAAATTCGTTAACTCACGGTCATGTTATATATAGGCTCGCAGCAGCAGCAGCAGCAGCAGCAGCAGTAACATCGAGAGCCGGCAAAAGGGAAGGGAAAAAGCGCAAAACGTTATGTATATATAGGCGCGCGGGCGTATGGAGCAATGAATGGATGGCGGCGCACAGGCACAGGAAAGTTTGTTCTGCAAACACGAAGCTTTCACCGATGAGTAAGAGAGAGAGAGAGAGAGAGAGAGAGATAGAGTCGAGTTTTGCTAGGTTATACTATATATAGCGCAGCAAGTATGCAGTTCTGGGAGCTCGCAGCACACAGCCAAGGCCCGAGACACGGCTTGGGCAAACATTTTTGCGCTATTACGCGAATCCGAAAGTGGACATTATAGGGGATGAATCGCTCTCCGGGTATATATGTAACGTGTACGTATAAAATCCTTGCGGTTTTGTTACGCTTAGCCCGCAGAGATTTTGTCTTTATCTTTTCCTTCGAGACTAAGAAACACGCGCGTCGGGGCTTTTTCGAGCGGGTTGGTTAGAGAGATATGATTTTAATGTATATATTCGCCGAGTCTAGCAGAAGAAGAAAAAGAACCACAGAGGGATTACAATCGACCGGTACACGTATCGTAACAAAGATTGCAGTACGAGAGAGTAAAAAAAAATAAAAGCAGAGAGAAAGAGAGACGTTACCGCGCACAGCAGTTCTCGAGTCTCGAAGAAAATAAGATAAATCGCTGGCTTGCCGATAGAATTTTTAGCGATGCGCCGCGCCGCGCCATTCGTTTTTCGATACGTGAGTGTGTGTATATAAGTGCGAGAAACCATTTCTCTTTCGCTGGAGGAAATGCGTAGAAAAGTAAGTCTCGAGCGCTGAAATGAAGGGTTACCCGCCGACACATATGATTTTTCATCGCGCGCGATCGACGCAGACGAGCGAGTGAGCGAAAAGCGATAGATTTTATTGGCGCCTCGGTGCAGTGGAGCTTTTCATCGAAGCACGAATATTGTATATAAAAATACAATTTATATATTAAAGCGTAAAAACGATTAATCGCCGCAAAACACTCGAGTCCTCGACAAGCACACACACACACACATTCCTGCAATCAGCGCCCCGGCACATCGTATTCCAGACCAAAAATAACTCGGCTTTCTCTCTCCTCTGCGAACGAACGCTGGCGCACACGGGCTGCGGGCCGGTGAAACGTCGCGTATATATATTATACGGTGCAAGCACCTTTTTCACCTCATATCGCCGTGTGCGCCGAGTCGTTGACGTGTCTGGTGACGACGTCCTAGACTAAAGTAATAGCCTCGGCATATACGTCTGTGTATGTGCATTTTATATATAGAGAAGCCCGCTAACAACCACCACGTGTACGCGTATGTGCGATAAGACTGCTAAGGCAGCTTTTCGTGTCTTAATGAAAAAAGCGCAAGGATGTGAGAATGCGTGTACAAACACATACAGAGACGGAGGCGCGTGTTCAGAAAGAATGCAAGGCTTGGATTAATTTACCGGACTAGCTCTGGTAATTAATTCGGTTTGTCGCTTGTGCGTCCACCCGCTGCGACTTTGTATTTTTTTCATTTTACTCCCTGCACTAGGGCTACTCCCAGCGCGGCGCACGCGACGAGATTAGAATCTCCTCTGCAGCGGCGAGTCCAGAAATTTTTCCCTCCGCCTTCGTTTTTTCATTCCTTCTAATTCGCTTCCTTTCTTTTTCTCGTGTTGCAGCTGGCGTACTCGATGAAGCTGGACTACGACTCGCGCGGAGGCGGCTACCGCGGCAGCGGCATAATGGCCCTGCTGCCGCCCAAGGTGAACGTGTCGTCGCACGGCTACGTGCCCACCAGTCCCCAGGTCTTCGCCATCAGGCTGCCCTGCTCGGGGATCGCGAGCGCCGAGATCAAGCTCGCGCTCAAGATCAACGTCAGCGCGCCGGCCGAGTCGAGGTACGACGACACGAGGCTCGTCTTCAAGCGCAACAAGATCTGCATGCAAGGTAAGAGTAAAAAGTTTTTCCCTGTTTCGGTGCCTACAGCTGGAGCAGCTACGTATAACCAGATAGATAGAGAGAGTGAAAAGCTCCTCTCCGCAGGACCTCCTTGACATTGAGCCGGGCAAATTATCGTCGCGCATCCCTGGCATTAAACCCGCATAATCTCTTACAGAATCGAAAATTGACGTAGACATGTACACCGTGCGAGAGAGATAGGCAAACGAGGAGGGAGGGAGGGAGGGAGAAGAACGAAGGACGCGGTGAAAAGCTCTTTAATGCTTGACAGACGCAGATCCGATTACTATCACGGAAAGACAGAGATGGGATAGAGACGGAGATAGAGAGCCGTGACGCTGCTCATTCGCCAAGGAGAAAGAGAAATGCTTCATCAAATGAAATTTCGCGCGCGGATTTTACAACTCTCCTCGACGACTCGACGAGGCGGCAGCGCAGTGCACTCTTTTATAATATACGTACAGTGCTGCTGTGCCTGCAGCGCGTCTCGCGTCGATGCTCGCGCCCAGGCTCGAGACGAGGAAAGAAATTTTACGGCGCTCGGGGGAAAGAAAGCGAGGGCTGCTGCCTAGGCCGCCTTACAAGAAGAGGAGGACTGTATATATATAAGGCAGTATGTATAGTAGGCATTAGATCTTGTTACACGCCAGAGTAGCTGGAGAATTCGTTGCGCGTGCTGCACTGACTGTATATGTACCGCGCAAGGGAGAACAGAGAGCAGAGTTTAAGGAACGGCAGCAGCAGCAGCAGCTCCTTTGATGTGGAATTGTTTCGTCGAGTGCCCCCGACCGACGTCGACTCCACTCGTCTCGGGCGCGCGCGCATTCTTCAATTTGGTCATTTGTTTCTTGTATAAAAAAGAAAGAAGAAGAAGAAGAAGGAAGGAAGAATTTTCGCGTACGCTCTTTTTCCGCGTAGTCAGAGTCGAATTTTTCCAGTCCTAACTCTTGAGTACAGAAATAGCAGTACACCTGCTCGGCGGGGCTCGAATATCCATGAAATCTTGCCTCGCGCGCAGAAATCACTCGAGCTCGATCACGCTCGTCGCTTGCTGCTTATTGGCACTCGTACACAGTGCCCGAAGTCTTCATACTCTTATCTGCGAGATCCCTTAGCAGCTCCTCGGCACCCTTGAAAATAATCGAATCTCGCGCTCGAGAGCCTCTTTGGGATATTGCCCCGGCTGAGGGTCTGAGAGAGAGAGAGAGAATACAACCTCGAGATGGATTCTATATCTTGTACCGATTGTACATATATCCCACGTTATGAACGCCTAAAGACGCCGGATCTTATGCGCGTGCCTAATTCTTCGAATCATAAGGGGATATTTCGGCCCGGCTTTAATGGAGAAAGCCTCGAGGAGGCTCGCTCTCTGCGCTGCTTAGATTAGCTGTCACCGGAGCAAACGATAAAGTACGGTAAAAGCGGGGATAAAGCTGCCCTCCTCCTATACCCCCACGGAGCTTTTCGGGATGCTATTTCGTATGGTTTTTCCGAGGCCTGCTGAATGAGAAAAAAGCCCATATATACGTGCGTATTCGGTTGGATTGCGAGCTTGCGTGCACGAGTTTCCACTGATTGCAATGGCTTTCCTTTTTTCCTTCGGCCCATACGTGGACGCGGCGAGCTAGAGGGATAAGCTTTTTTGTCATTTTCGGAAGATTATCCTTTTTCTTTGTGCTGCGCAGAAGAGCTGCCGCGTGCTTTTTTGACGCAAAAATGTAATATGACTCGATGAGCTTTGTTGAATGCGTGTTACGATACATACACATCGCCGTGGCCCTTTGTCCATTCGACGTTCAGGATAATTAGTCTAAAATTTTAAATTCAATTTCATGACATGCGTAGTACGGTTGAGACTTGTTCTCGCTTCGTCGAAGAGCCAGCCCTGTTTTGCATTAGCCAAAGCTCGCGAGCGCCATAATCTTATCAGTCCTTTAACGTTTCACGAGTGCTCCGCGATTCAAGTGGATCGCGCGCGCGCACGCTAGCCCTTCGGGGGGTCATCTACTTTTCTTTTCTCATCTCGGCCGGGCTAGGCAAGGAGCAAACGAGGATTAATTCTTTAGACGTTGCGTCGGAAAACTGTAATACTCTTTGTGCGTAGTACCTCGGAATCAAGATTACTCTGGGCGCGCGCGGAAAAGAGAAATTTTACGAAATATTACAAGGCCGGTGCCGTGCTAGCCGATAAACACAGCGAAGCAATTTTTATTAGGCACCCGTAGTAACATCAGCGGCAGCAGCAGCAAGATTGATCAAATCAGCTGGAAAATTCAACTATTCGCCTTGATACAAAGTGTATTAATCCATTTAAGTAGGCGCAGCTTCTTCTTCTTCGTCTTTCTTCTGTATATTCTCTTTAAAACTTCCGCGCTGGAAAATCAACAACATTGGCAGGCAAGATATTGCACGCTCAGCCTTTCGTCTTTCACCATGAGATGGCAATAGACCCCTCCTCTCCTCGGGTCGAATCGAGCTTTTATCTGTTAAAGTAACCTCGAGGCTAGTATCTCTTTTCCTCGACTATGCACACACAGCAAAGGAACACATAACCGTGTGTATCGAGAGCACAGCGAGAGAGACGAAATATAAAAGCGATTTATTCGACTTTGCTATATTCTCTCCGGGTTAAAGTACGTCTCTTTGCCTCGCGCTTCATTTATCGAGCAGTTATTTACCCAAGCGAACAAGCGACTGCTTTATACGGGCTTCGATTTTCTAGTTTTTACCCTCTCCTCCTCCTGCTTCTGCTGCTGTCGTAAAGAAGGTGCCGATTCGTTGGTGAGAAAAACGAGCTGCGATAAAGAGGCTTTTCTTAGTCGCGTGTTCTTTTAGCATTTTTCCTCGCGCGCGCGCACAGAAGCTCGGAAAGAGAGAAGAAGAAGAAGAAAACGCAAAAGAGCTCGGGCTACAAAGGGGTTGGCTATATACACCGTATACACACACCATGGGCGAGAAATTAATAACTACCCGAGCTGGGCTTCGCCTGCCGCCGCCGCCGCTTTTTTCTCCATTTATCGTATAGCGCATATATACACGTTATAGGGTATCGCCGCAGTTTCTTTGGGGCGCTTTTGTTCCGGACCGGTGGTGCATGAGTTTCTCTCAATCCTCGTTTGACTGTGAAATGTTAGAGTTTTGCCCCGAATAGTTTTTTAATTGTTCGACCGTGAGACGACGACGACGACGACGACGACGCCGGCGAAGGCGATGATTAAATCGATCGACATCCTGGGCGCACTCGCTCGAGCGTGCCTATAATCGCAATGGAAATTATAACGAAGTTAATTGATTTTTAATATTCGATCGCTCGGCGTGTTTCGCACGGCTCGTTAATGCAGCTGCTGCTGCTGTCGGGACATTTTAATAATAATTACATTTGCAATTTTAATTTAAAATGTCGCGAGGCACACACTTGAACACGTTTGAGAAAAAACCTAAATAACGATCTACTTAACCCAGTAATGCAATTAATGTTACGGGCGGTGCGGTGCAATTGAGAATACTCAGAGGCGCAGTTCGAGCTCAAGGCGAAGAGTTACTTTTTTGAAATACATAGCTCGCCGCTCTTCTCCGTTGATAAGGCATAAAAAGTTCGTGAATATATACGCTCTCGAAAATTCGATCCGAAAAAGGCAAACGCTTTGAGTCTTAATACGCGGACGAGTTCAAAAAAATCCATCGCCGCCGGACAAAGGTGCGCAGAGAATGTATGTATGAGCGCCGATGAAAACGCGCTGCAGCGACTGAACTGCGCGTGGCTTTATACACGTATAGCTCCTTTTTTTTCGTTCGAAGGCGGAAATTCTCTCGGCTGAACGCTGCGGTTGCACGTGATCGAGTGCGAGGATCGTTTGAGGTTCATATCCGCAAAATAAAATTCACCAATTTGAAAAAGAAAAATAGCACCTTGATAGAGTGACCAAAAATACCTATTTAAAATGTTTTAAGATACATTAAAAATAATTGACGTGTTTTGGACGACTTTTCTGTTGTGGTTTTACTACCAATAATAAGCACATTTCAAATAACCTGAAAACGACTATTTAATTTTTTCAAAAAAATTTAGACGAATTTTCAAGGACTTTAAATACCACAATACTACTATAAGCCTTCACCGCCAGGTGGCGAGTACCTCTATCTATAAATCTGAAAGTGACAAAGTTAAGATAATTGTATAAGTCAAAGCACTGTTTCGCTAGTTCCATTGATTTTCCGAATGTAAAAAGATACCCCCCCCCCCCCCCCCNCCCCCCCCCCGTTTTTTAAATAGTTAAAAAGAATGAAGAATTGTATGGCCATAAATTGTAAAAAAAGCGATACACTTTTGTTGAGCCGACGCCCAATTCTAATTACTCTCTTATACTCAAGGAATTTGTTAGTTGGCTAAAATCTGACCATAAAATGTTGATCATTTTGACTAAGAAAGCTGCATCTAAGAATTCACAATAATGTTCTGTTTTGCAGGAATACGTACGCAATCGAAGAACGACTCGGTAACATTACAAGCGGGACCGCTGGCCAACAACAACGGAGCCTTCTACATAGCCGCGAGCTGCGCCTGTGCCCTCATACTCGTCGTGGTCGGCGTTGCCAGCGTCATTTACATACGCAACAGCAAAGCTCGCTCGCAGCTACCCAGGTAAGAACGGTAGACGAGATCTCAGGAATAATATCGCGCGCGCCGAAACCAACGCCAGTCTACATAAGAGTCGTTTCTGGAGGGGTATGGAGAGCTTTAAATAGCCGTGTGCGTGCACTGCGGTTATTGTACAAGCGAGATAAGCCACTGCAGAGAGAGAGAGAGCAGATATGCGCGGCCACAGGCACTTTGAATGCCATTGCGCTAGCTGCTTGTCGTACGGGTGCTGTGCTTTTTGCGCAAGCCACTCGACCGGGGGATCAATTTGTTGTTGCGAAAATCCTGACCGTGCGAGAATATTTATAATTGAAATATAGTGGGCGAGCAGTTAGATATTTTCGATTATTTCGTTGGTGCGACAGAATTCGATTAGGTCGTAAACTCGCGTCACTCGGACAACCGCAGGCGGGGCTTGTATTTGCATACAAATAACCGGAATATCCAGAAATTTTTGCACTTTCGCGCCCGTCATCTGCAAAATTGCGTTTCTACGCTCGCCAAAATTCAAGAGGGAAAAAATTGAAATAAATCGCAAACTGCTCGTCTATACCGTATAATAAGATCTGTCTCGAAGATGAAAGGCCGAAGCTATGGGTGAACTCATCGGCAGCTCGTATTTATCACAGTGACTGATCACACACAAACGTATATACCTAGCTAAAATAAACACGTCCAATTCGTGGAGCAGCAGCACAAGCCGTGATCAAGTATGCATACCTCAAGAGAGACAGAAAGCCTAACCATACGGAAGTACACACGCACGTGTGAGCGAGTATCTACGTGTGTGTATATGGACGCCCTTCCAGTCGAGCGACTTTTATCTCGCACGCCTGCCCACCATCGTGTACTACACAATCCCAACAAAAACAGGGTCAAATAGAGAGAAGCTCGAAATATGTGCTAAAAAGCTCGCTCGAAATAAGAAATCGCAAGGCCTGATAAGAGAGACACTGTACAGCTGCTGCTGCTGCTGACTGACCTGTCGCCTTTCTCTCGCTTTTTTCAATAAACGAGGTGCCAGTACTACTGATCCATCGCTATCTCGCGCCCGGGCATTTTATTACAGCTGCTGCTGTTGTCACTGCCGCTCGGGTATCACTGCAACACTCGTTTTTTACCCTCTTTTGATACAAAAGGTGATACACGATATAGATAGGGTACGGCTGAAGAGAAGAAAAGGCGAATGTCGATCTTTTGACGCCGCGCCATGTCGAACGAACGAACGAACGAACGAACCGTCCTTTGGCTGGGGAGCGTGGGTGGCGCAAAGAAGCAGTTTTTACCGAAGATAGGACGTAAAAAAAAGGAGAGAAGAAGAAGAGCAAAAAGGTATTGCATCGACGAGAGAGGGTTAGATGTAAACGGCTCTGCAGTATTTTTTTCTCTCGCGTCAGTCTACTTACGGAAGTATAGCGGCGGTGAGTGTATGTGTGCATTTTTGAGATTGAGATGTCAACGAGAGAAAAGCTGCGCAGAAATGAGAATGACGCGGGGGGAGCTGCAGTTATCATTTTAAAAGTGAAGCATCTCACATTTAAGCGTTTGACACTCTTCGCAAATGAGAAATGACGAAGCAATTCTGCATCATCGTAAGAAAAATGGGCGCGCTTACATTACCGCGCGCGCGTATGACCTCATAAAAGCAAATCTTCGGAGCGATCTTTCTTTCTTCTTCGTCTTTCTCGGGGGATGTATTAACGTCTTTTTCGGACCACTCGTGCACTGCACCCTCCACCGCCGCTCCGCCGCATGTGTACACATGTACAGTAAGCCTACATTGTAGCGGGCAGAGAGGCGCCCCATCGTCGGGCTCATAGAAATCGCACATCCGAAAGAGACAAATTATTCCGCACTTGCTAAAGCCACTCGATCGAATATCGTTCGTTTTCTCCCCTACCGCTATATACGGCTCGTGTGCCCGTTCGTTCGCTTTTTCCACTTTATCTTTCTTTTTTTTTTCACTGCCTAAACTTGACGAACTCGAACCACTGCCGAATGTGTATTTCTCCTTTTTTTTCTGGCGCGCTATACTGCGTATATGTACACGCGCTCCCGCCGCCGCGTCACTTGTCAAAGCAAGCACAAGCTGCTCGCTGCAGAAACTTTTCGGAATAATTTTCCTCTACTGGCTCCTATATATACATATGTTGTATGGAAAGAAGAAAAGAGAGAGAGAGAGATAGATTGGGTGGGGGACAGAGCGTTAAAAAATCGTAGAATAATTGGACCCGCTGCTGGGAATTGGCGTGTATATGTGCACGTTCGCCGGCAGTACGAGAGATCATTATCGTGCTGGAAAATTGCTTTCATGTACGCAATATTATGTATTTGCAAGTCGCTGATTATTGTACGTTAAGATTAACTTTTCTTTTTTTTTTTTTTTTTGTCGCAAACAGGAAAAATCTCAACTACTGCAGCTACTCGGCCACGGGCACGGGTGCGCTCACCGGCAGCTCGATACTCGTCAAAGTGGACAATCGACCGGGCAGCGCTAATTCGGGCAGTTACGCGACGATAGCCGACCTCGAGCCGCTCTACGCCAGGCCCTGCGGTTCCAGAGCCAGCTACTACGCAGCCAGCCACGTTACCCACTTGAGTCAGGTGAGCTGCAGCAGCGCATACCATAGCGCATGCCATACACATACCAAATGTACAGCGAGAGATGATCGTAGCTCTCGAGTGGCTACTTGGCCTCTAACGGGTGGGAGGAGATGGTGCGCTGCGGCTCTCGCGCGGATAGAGATACATGTCGATGCGTGTACGAACTATAGCTATGGGTTCGCGGATAAATAGTAAGCAATGCAGCCGCTACGAGGCGCACCTGAAATACATCACGAACGCGCAGTCAATTTTTTAAACAGTGCGCTATAAGATTCGATTACCTATACGTTCTTATATGATCCTATATTCTTAAACGTTCATCTCATCCGTTCGTTCACATTTATACATAGTTACCGAGCAGAAAAAAATCACGTCCAGCGCACACAGGTTTATATAAGTATTATACGGCAGGCACGTCCTTCATTCTGTGAACTGAAATATCAAACGATACACTGCCTTGCGCAGCGGCAATTTTCTCAACACCCATACACGTGGGTACAGTGCGAGTCGGCATCACCACCAGCAGCAGCTAGCATCAGAGACGCGATGCCACGTAAAATAATGGGAAACGAAAAAAATCATTTCTCCGACTTTTCCGCGCGCTATACACGCCATATAATCAGCACACGACGAGGAACGTACATATACACGGCATACGAGAGAAAATAAGAAGGAGGAGGAAAAAAATACGAGTCTCAGCTTCCGCTGGCGTACACGAAAATCGCAACGAGATTAACGCTCACAAGCTTTCGGCTCGTACAGACACACACACACACACACACGTAGACGCACACATGTTCAGGTACTTACTCTTGTCCGCAGACAGTTTGTGGCTCGTGATTCGTGAAGCATACCAGGGCATTGTTTCTCCACGCAGGCAGAAAAGAAAAGTCTAAAGCTCGGGACATTTCGCATTCCTGTAAAAAAAAAGGAGAAAAAAAAAGAGAGAAAAACGAAATCCCGTGTGCAAAGGGCGAAGCGCGCGCGACGACTGACGTAATCTCTTTAATCGACGCACGCACGTGTGTGTGCTGCTGCTGCGGTGTTAGCCAGCGAGATTGTTTTACCCCGATACCGTAGCAGGTGTATAACGGGTATGAGCGTGCACGTTTTCAACACTTTTTTTCTATAAATAATATGCATATCTTTGTTATTAAGAGCTAGCTGTGCGGAGCCGAAACGATCGTATTTTATACCCGAGCTTAAAATATATAGGCAAAACGAAGAGGGGGGCCTGTTAAGAGACGAGAGAGAGAGAGCGAGTAGGATTTGGGATTAAATTAAGTTGTATGCAAGGGAGGGAAAACTTTAGCAAGTCAAATTATACACTTCCTCATGAGATTTCGTTTGTTGTCACACCTTCTTCGTCGTCGTCGAGTGCGGGGTAGGGCTGAAGAAGTTATATACGACTTTATTTTGTAATTCGCCGCTTCAACAAATAGAGAGATGAAAAAAAAAACACACACACCATTCGACTACAAGCGGTGACAACAAAACCACCTTGTGTGTCTATGCATGTACACCTAACAGCGTCGTCGTCGCTCGGCTGTTGACAGAACGAAGAGAAACTGCGGTGATGGCTGACAGAGAGGTCAAGCCTCCGCAGCGCCTGTCCATGCCTCTGCCTCGACCCCTCTCGACTATATACTCGCTTCCTTTCCAGCCGAGCTTTTGAAAAGCCCGCACACACAGACACACACACATAATACAGGTAGAGAGAGAGAGAAAGATAGCGTGGCAGTGCACTGCACAGCAGCTATATACCCCGCTTCGCCGTGAAAGCTCAAACCGACCAAGTTGTCATTGGGAAAAGCGTTCCTAGCCACAAACTCGATAAAGTTTCCAGTTGGCCGTAGAGAAAGCGAGCTGTAGCCGGAGCTATATAGTTTATAGAGCCGAGACAATAGGAATAAACTCAGCTTCTGCCGGGACTTTTTAACGTTGAGAGGGTAGAGAGAGAGAGACGAAAATAATCGTTGCTGCGACAACTCTACTACTGATTATTATGCCATGAAAAAGTTCCCGCGGCTAATATCTATATACATATGAAATATATATACGTTAAGTGAGTCAAAGTTTGTTGACTGTATACGGGGCTTCAATTGCTGCAATATGAATTTTAAAAGTCTCCTTCTTCCTTTTTTCATCAAGTGCAGCAAACGACGATTTTATTTAAAAAAGTTTTTTTCATTGAGAAGCGGAAAATTATTCGATTATCTCTCTCTCTCTTTTTTTTTGTTTTCAGTAAGTAGTATTTGAGCTGAAAAACGAGAAGACGCAATTTATTATGTGACGCGCGCTCGCGCCGAATCGATACTAAAATCGATCGGCCACACACCACTCGCGAGATTGCAGCGCTATATAGAGCGGATTCTTTTAGATAAAAAAAGAAAAAGACAGAAAAGAAAAAAGGAAAATCTCACCGCAGACAGTGGCAGCTAGAGAGAGAGAGAGTATATTAAGTATAAACGTTTGTACTCTCTCTTGCATCGCCTTTGGTAAATCCGATTGGTCTCGAGACTCGAACTAGCTTTTCCCAAGCCACACCTATTGGCTTATTGGAGACCCCGAGCCTCTGCTATTCATAGTAGTATAGAGCTAGATAGTATAGGTGCAGCGCGTCGAGCTGACTATCGCCGAGAAAGCACGTGCGACTCTATTCAAGAAAACGATGATACGTGACCGGGAGCGGTTGCAATTTTATTATTATACGCCTATGAGCTTTACATTTTCCCAAGCTGCGAAATATAAAATCCGCAACGAATCGGAAAAATGCCATCGGGCGCTTTCGAAACTTATAATTAGCATTTCGTAATTTCGATTTTCTTGAGCGCACGAGGATCTGCGCTGCTGCGCGCATCAACACATTTACACACTCGGTCGAGCCAAGCCAGACACACATACACGCACATTACACACACACACACACACACACACACACACACACACACACACACACACACACACACACACACACACACACAGAATCGCACGCGCTAAAGAGGAAATCAAATCACTTGGAGCGAAACAACTTCACAGACGACAACGTCGGCGCAACTGCCTTGTAATTAACGCGGCGCTCAGAAGCTCGAGCTTGCTCGCTCGCGCCTCGCAAAGCTCCCCGGCCCGGCGTCGCAAGCGCGACACGGATGTATAAACACGCGCCTTGACACGCCGTCTTATAATTAGGAAAAGCTTCTTTTTTTTATAGGAAAAAAGTACACATATTTATTTACTCGTTCTATATGATAAAATTTTCCGTATATCCAATGTGTGTGTGTTTCGCTTTTGAAGAGAGATAAAGGTTGGGCACGAGGAAATACAGACACACATACAACGTCACGGCAATAAATGTACAGACGGGATCGCGAGGGAGATGGGGGTCAAAGGCGCAACTTTTTTCGTGCAATAAAAGTGACGTAATAAGCGCGAGCTAGCTCGGGCGAGGGGAGGACTCTCTCTTTCTCTCTCTCTCTCTCTCTCTCTCTCTCTGTACTGCTCCGAACGACGATGAGAAGTGCGAAGGAAAATTGTCAAGCGTATCGTTTTACACGCGCTACAAAGCAAACTGCCGCCGAGCTTTTATCCCGAAAACGTTCGCCGCCGCCGTTTCTGCTATCTCTACCGGTGTGCAAACTTTGCTTTCGCTTTCCGAGGCCCCACTATATGCCATACGTATGTACGTACACGGATTCGTGTAATATTAAAGCCTCGACTCGAGCTCTGTAGCTAGCGCGACTCGACTCGTGTGTAGACGTCTGCCGAGCTGCGGCGCTGGCGGATCGTCGAAAGACGTAAACATACCGTACACATACACAGACACACACGTAGACACGCGCGCGTTGTTTGACGTATGTATGATGCGCCAACGGCATCAGCGGCAGCCCAGTGACAGCAGAGAGGCTTTTGGCTCTGAAAATTGCATGAGGCACCGACGTCGAAATCGAATTTACTGATATATATCTTGCGCTCGTGCGTGTGTATGGGTGTGTGCATATATGTTTGTCGACGAACTGCTGCTGCTGCTGCTGCTGCTGTGGGAGGAGGCGCGCGGCGCTACATGCATAGTTGAAAGCTCTCTTGACTAGTAGCAAGTGTATGTGTACGCGCCTGCATAACTAAGTCAGCTCGTTTGTCTCTACACGATATAAGCTTGAGAGATTCGCGTGCAAAAATCCTGTTCGGGATATAGCTGCCATTATGCCGACCAACAAATAGTTTTATATATTCATGTAATAGTATAGCGAGCAGCGTAGCCCGGCTATTTTCAAAGTTTTGCTTTTTACCGACTCACGAGGGACCCTTTCACGCCGAACGAAGAGAGCAGCCGAGTACAACATTTTCATAAACACAGCGCGCGGGCTATGCTGCGTCTTTGATGCTTGAGTGCAACGCGCTTTCGACTTCATCGAATATACATGCGCATCGACTGATCGAAAATTGACTCGTTCCACTTGTTACTTTTTTTTGTGTACCTGCCCATCCATTATGCAACCATTGTATCAAGTTTCTGCGTTACGTGCCATTACGGATCCTTCGTTTTTTTTGTCGAGTCTCGTTTCGTACTCTGCGCAAATAAAGCAGCGCGCACACGTGTATCAGCTTCGATATCGAAAGTCCATTACTCGCTGTCGCGGACAAACGTGCACGATACGAGGCATTAGCAACGACGAAATGACTATCTTGTAGGTACACCGTGCGATGCCGCTACTCTACAGTATACTATGTGCGAGTTTAAGTTATAGCAGTAATTTATTCAGGTTCAAGACTTTGGGCGAGGAGATCGGCTCGTCATGCGTCTGGCAGCGACGGCTGGACGCGTCGAACCCTTGGGCGGGTTGCAACGTCGTAGCGCGCAGCAGCAGCAGGGGGGTAAATTGATCCGAGATCAAAGCCAAAACAATCACTGGGAAAGCGGCGCGTTTGTGCCTCCGACTTTCACTCTCGCTTTCTCTATCTCTCAGTCTCGTTCACTTATGTACAGTTGCTGTATACCGGCTCCGGTAAGCGACGAAGGACGTTTACCTTTTATTACTCGTTCACAAATTTCAATTGCGTCACTTGGAAAACGATATTTCATATAGAAATAGCAAAATCTTGAAATCTTGGTTTATTATCTTTTCGACGAATATGTTGAAGAATTATAATTGAATCCTAGAAAAAGTTTATTGAAAATATTGAAACATCCAAAAATATCCCGGGTAGAAATTCTCAACATGCATATTGACCTAATGACCATGAAACTAATTCTGATACAGATTTTCCATTTTCATTATGTTACAAATATTACGTATATTTTAAATGACCTAAAAAAAATTCAATTATTTCAAAATATTTAGACAAGTTTTCAAGCAATTCAAATTGAGGGGCGCGTTCTAAGGATTGGACTGTCATGCTTGCACCTTGATAATCTTTTGAAAAAGGTATTATTAGAAGTTATAGGAAAAAATAGTTATTATAATTTAATTAGAACCGGACTGTCGTACTAAATAATCTAAATAATCGTTAGATAAAAATATCACCACTATTTAAATTCATTGGAAGTGATTTTTTTATTTTACATTTATTGCTTCCTCATTTTAAAATTTACGTTATAAAAATAAAGTGTACATTTTCGGAAAGTTTTCAGAAGTTTGAAGTAGGTATTGGAAAATTCGCGTATTTGAATGATCATTAAAAAGGATCAGTATTAAGCTTTGATGTAAAAAAATGGGAAAAAAAAATTAAATGTTTACTCTTTATAATTGAAACTCCTTACAAATTTAGTGGTTCGCTATTTTCTCGCTATCTCGATTGCATTGGAGTCCTGACTAAGAACTATGATAATACTTTAAGTCTACACCACTAGATGGCCAGTACCTTAACCAATAAATCTGCAAGCGGCAAAATAAAAATAATTGTATAAGTTTAAGTAAATTTTTGAGAAGTATAATAGGAATTTGTTACGTTTTTGTTTGCAAGAATTTGATACAGTCAAAAAGAGTTTAAAACTTGGGACGTTATGTAGCCATAAAATATTGTTGAAAATAACATGACACTTTTAGTTAGTATAATATGTTCAGTTCAAAAGACCCTTTTATTCCCAAACTTTTTCATCGACCAAAAACTAGTCATCGAATGTTGAGCATTTTCCATCGGGCATATAATATAAGATGATAATTAATGAATTGTCAAGGCTTGATACCATTGGCCAATGGCATGAAACAAATTGGTTCTCGTTCTGATTGAATCAGTCGTTAGCGTAATACAATGCAATGCATAAGACATGGCATTCAACGCACAGATTCAAAATTCGATCCAGCGCTTACGAAGAGTAAAAATAAAAGTCGTCGCGAAAGTCTCGTTAATAAAGTCCACGTGAGCGGACTCCCGGTAAAAGTCTCGGGATCATATTATTCACCGCAAATATATGTACGCGCATTGTCAACGAACGATTCATCACTTTGTCGGTCTTGTCTCTCGGACTCGTCGGGAAAAGTCAAGACTGCTTGGGCGAGTCGTCGTCGTCGTCGGTCGCTTAGCGAGAGAACTTTGCGAGCTAGCAAGCGAAGGACGAGCGAGAAAGAGGAAAAAAGAAAAGCTCCTCTCGCGAAACAACGCCATGAATATAAGAAGCCCATTCGCGAGCACGCGCCCAAGCTTGCACGAACGAGCCCGAGCGAGCGAGCTCCGAGGGACGAGAAGAGGTAAAAGCAAGCACTTCGCCCAGCCTAGAGCCTATACATAAAAAATACAAGCGTCTCTTCATTTATTCACCTGCGTCTCTCTCTAGCGCACGGCGTAGCTTCTTCGCTGTATATACAGCGTAAGGAAGTAGACAGAGAGAGAATACAAGGGGGTAGCTAACCGCGCGTGTAAGCTGCTTCTCCGTAGGGACACGAGCTGTAGCTGCTGCCGTCGTCTTTCTCTTCATCTTTTCCCTTAGACTTACATACGTATATACACGCACGTACTCACACAAATCTACATCGTCCTTATGCATACATGCATGTTTATTTTCGCTTAGAAAGAGATTAATGCACAATATCTTTTTTGCAACTCGTTATTGTTATTATTGCTACGGCAGTTTGTCGGGCGATCGCGCATTATGACTGATATAAAACAGAGAATAAAGGCGAGTAAAATGAAAAAAAAAAAAAAAAGAAATCATTTTATTGAGAAAAATGAAGAGGGTGTCCCCTTAGAGCTCGAGCTATATTATATCTTGAAACTTTCTCGAGATGCGAAACTGCCGCTTCCTACATAAAACTAAACGTACGCCACGGCGCGTACTAGCATAAAATACAGCGGAAGCAGCTCCGTAAGTACGCCGGCGTTTCGTGTGTGCAGCGACTCGGATTCAATTTTTAGTATGATTCGTCATGAACACCCTCGTGCCACCGCGTCGAGTGCGTCTGTGTGAGTGTGCGTGTGTGTGTATGCAGTACACACCACCCTTGACTCGAGCTGCGCATGATTTCCATATACGCGCGCTTTTTATTTTTGTCCGGAGCAGTCGCGCGTCGATGATGCATCGCTTGTTTGCCGCGCCACGCAGTTGGATGTGCGAAAAACAAAAGTAAAAATTTAAAAAAAAAAGAGAGAGAAGAGGGAAAATCAAGCTGAGCGCGGTACATATATCGTAATTTATGCCGGCAAATTGGAATCGCAGTACCACGTTCACTCCTCCGTAACAATGTGACACACATATATAGATAGATACCCGCTCACAACTGCGATGAAAAAAAATATATATATATACAAACCCGTCATTGAAAACCGCACGCATGTGCTATGCGCGACAATGTAACACGAAGATGGGGTGAAAAAAATTCAACAGCGCTCTAAGCAGGCCAGAGGGCACAGAAGTTGAGTTGAAATTGAAATTAATGAAGTCTCGCGCTGCATGCGCATAGCTCGCGAATATATTTGGGGGCCTGTATATACCATAGGGGCTGTGCACGTGCACATGGCCAGAGAACGAGAGGGAGAGAAAGACAGAGAGAGACAGAAAGCGATGAGAATTTTCGGTGAGCGCTGCTTGCATCTAGCTAGGCGTGCGTCAATGCTGTATAGACTAAACGTGCTCTGATGAAGAACAATTGCGCGCTTTTTCACGCCGAGCTCGCGACGCAGTGTATACCATAATCGTTGCGTCTCGCTCGAGCAAGCCCTCATTCGTCAAGCAGCTGGGCTAGCCTGCAGGATCTCCGCGTAAAGAGCAGCAGCAGTAGCAGTTCGTTTCGGCCTATAAGAGAGCTTGATTTTTATAAATAGAGCAACGCGACACTGCATAGAGCTGACTTTTTGCCTTAACAAATGTGTGTATATTATACCGTGTATACGGAAAGCTCCGAGAAGGAGACGCGCGAGCGAGTTCCTCCTCTTTCTTCTTGCCTCGAGGGACTTTTGAACTATTACGTATGTCCACTAGCTATCTTCGCGTACATTACACATAATATCTTGTGTGCTTGCAGTCGACTGATCCATGCGAAAAAGCTCGAGCCGTGGCGGTTGCCAGGTCCGCGCTCAAGTGTCGAAGCGTCATACAAGAGGGTACTTTCGGTCGAGTTTATCGAGGCACTTTGAACCACGGAGGAAGAGACCAGGAGGTCATCATCAAGACGGTCACAGGTACGTATACAATGCATTCTCACACGTGCGTGTGCGTCCGTGAATTGCCACATACACACAGTCCATCATCCATATATAGTCGCGCGTACTACAAGTTTGCAACAGGGCTGAAATTGAAATTCGCCGGCAGTGGTGGAGCGGTGCGGGTTAAGTGGAAACTTGCGCGCGTAATCGTTGCACGCGCAAAATTACTTTGATAACTGTTGTAGCCGCCCCGGCCCCCCCGACCCACATACATACACACACAGGCACAGAACTCTCTGTTCGGAGAGCGGAGCAAATTTATGCGCTAAATTATATGACGATGCGTCGTACGGCTATACATACATGTATGCATCGCCGTACTAATGCCAGATCAGCTTCGCTCAACTCGACGAGAGCTGTACGCGCCTTCGCTCGCTCCTATGAACATCTCGTTATTTACTTTCGCGCTCATGAATATGGAATTCGCCCCATTCCGTTGTTGTTCTTCTTCTGCCGCCTTGCAATACGTACACGCAGTTGCGAAATTCATAACGGAGCTCGGCTGCGGTGTGGCAGCAGCACCATCTTTCTATATTAATATCAATCGGTGAAAGCAATAACTGCACTAAACAACGGCCGGTACATCGATCGTAATAACGTACTTACGAATTAATTGCTTGCACTGCACAGACGCAGCCTCGGCCTATCAGGCCTCGCTGCTCGTCTCGGAGGGCTCGCAGCTGGCCGGCCTGATACACGGCAACATCACGACCCTGGCGGCGGCCTGCCTCGACGGCGCCGGCAATCCGCTGCTGGCCTACTGCTGCACGCTCAACGATCTCAATCTCAAGTCCTACCTTACCGGCGGCGGGCATCATCCGGTCACGAGGGATCTCGTCAACGTCGCCGTGCAGATAGCGCGAGCTGGCGCTTTCCTCCACGGCCGCGGTATACTCCACAGGTAGGTGCACAGCTTGCGGTACCCGCAAACGAGTTGCACCGCGGATGGCTATATATATACTTGTCGCGATGATTTACCGATTATAATGATTATTGTATAATTTGCAGAGACATAGCGGCGAGGAATTGTTTGGTAGACACGAGCACGCTGCGAGCGAGATTGGCCGACGCGGCTCTCTCGCGCGATCTCTTCGCTCAGGATTATCACTGCCTGGGCGACAACGAGAACAGGCCGATCGGCTGGATGGCGCTGGAGACGCTTCAGCACGGACAGTACAGCACTGCCAGCGATTCGGTAAGACACGCCAATCGGCCGTTCAATTGTCCTTTAACTCTTCTCGTCCGTAACTAATTTTCTTGTCACGCACCAGTGGTCATTTGGAGTCTTTCTCTGGGAATTGGCGACGATGGGTCAGCAGCCCTACGCCGAGGTCGACCCGTTCGAGCTCACGGCGTTTCTGCGGGACGGCTATCGACTGTCCCAGCCTAGGCCCTGCCCCGACGAGCTGTTCGCCCTCATGGCCGTCTGCTGGCTGGGCCCGAGTCGAGATCGGCCGACCATGCCCCAGCTGCTGGCCTACCTGCAGGAGTTCTACGACGCGCTCGGTGGCTTCATTTAAATGTGAAATTCGGGACGCGACCCTCATAGGATAATGATAAATGTGAAAAGGCGAGAGCGAGACTTTTTTGGAATAAACGAATTTAGGATAAAGTAATAATCGTCAACTGATGTTAACGCGACACGAATGTTAACTGCTGATTCCACGTATACTTACGCTGAGATTGTAGATTGAAAATAAAATAAACTTTTAATTTCGAGCTTATTACGATAATATATAAAGTTTTCATGAAAATTCAAAAATTGTAAATAACACGAGCCCAAGAGGAACCTGTGGATTAAGCACTGCTTTTTCCAAAAACAAACTTTGAGGCTTATAATCAGCGAGTACGATTTAACGAGTACAGTTGTTATATGAACTTTATTATTAGTCACCGCCAAAAAAAAAATATTCCATGAAACTCCCATTGAGTTCGAAAGGCTCTTTTCAACTTTACCTAAAGTGTAAATACATACTGGTAAAAGCTCGTTAAAGCTTGTATTTCCACGCGAAGTGAATAAATAAATACCCAGGTTGAAGCAGCGCAGCGACACCAGCAAAGTCTCTCGCGTCAAAGACTTTCGCGCAAAGTAGCTTCGCTTGGCCGCGTAAGTTGCGCGTGTACACACACATACAATATATACTTATAGAGCTATTTCTTTGCTCGTCGCACTGATCCGCTTTAGTCGCTTCGCTTACTTGCTCGCTTGCGCCTGCGGCCCGACTTCCAGGCCGCGTCGCTTGTAAATATGCGCGTATAGTTAGTGGTATAGTATAACAGCAGCTTGTTTATAAGAGGCTCGCGCGCAGGCGGACCGCGCCTGAACCCAAAAAGTTTTGCTCTTGAATATGTTGCGCGCCGCTTAATTATAATCGGGCCGCGACTCCTCCTCTGCTTGCTGGGCGCGATGAGCTCTCCTTCTCTTTCTCTCTTTCGCCGTTTCCGCATTATTATTCAATTATTTGATTTTAAAATGTATCTCTGTTGGGCGCGTTTGCGACTATTTTTTGACGACGACGTTCGCGATAAGATATTTTTGTAAAACTCGCCAATGTTGTGTATCGACGAGAGCATCCGCGATTTCATTGCGGACAGAGTGGTGTACTTTCCTCGAGTATTTTTATTGGCTAGGGTAAAATGTTTCTGTTATCTTTTAAGCGTATATATAGCGCGATTGATCAGTAGTTTCTTTTTTTATAGCCATTCGACTTTTTAAAAAACAAGGAAAAACTACATCAATTTTCTCCGTGAAAACAAATTACAAAAAATTAAGCTACCTTCAATTTTCGAGGTCGAAGAGAAAAAAAAACTACTAGAAAAAAAATGGTGCCATTTCTCCTATCTTATCTGTAGTTTATAATATATTTTTATTGAGAAACAGTTTCAGCTGACTAAATAGCCAATTTTGTATCGGCTCGTGTACATGATGTACTTACATGAATAGTTGCTAATGAAGTCACCCATCGACGATTTCCTATATTATATATCGCTCTGTAACATGGGGAAAAAGCGAAGCGTTTAATTAATTTATTATAAGTCTGCGGTAATTACGGTCAAAAGATATTTTGAAATTATGAGGTGACGATAATCAAAAACTCAGCGGATAATTATACAAGCATCGTGTAAGCAAATGAGATTTCACGCTACAATTTCTAGTCCGTTACGATAGGATAATTAACGAGTTAACGAAACATACTTTTTCAGGGACGTTTCAATTCTTTTTTTTTTTTAATTCCTGCAGTTTTCTATACACATCTAAAAAAAAAATTGTGACACAGTACAGTTTCCTTGAGAGACTGTGAAAAATATACACATAGCTGATACAAAAAGTATACTCCCTATTGTATTGAGAACGTAATATATAAATGAACATATATAATGAAAGTATATCTATATACACTTTGCAATTAATGTTGGGAAATAAAAACAGTGTCATTGACATAATCTGTTATTGAAAGTAAACTTTTTTCAAGCAGAAACACAATGAAAATATTTATACTGGATATTTTTTAAAGTACTGATCTTTTTATAAAAAAATTCAAGGCGCAAACTCAGAAAAGCAAATTCGTAATGTGTATATTGCATAAGTATCAAAAATATCGTGTACATAATTGATAATCAAAAGGAAAATTCAAAAACTTGTTGTATCTTCTGTGTAATACATTTTTACGATGCGATAACGAATCAAAACTAAAGATTTATGCTACTATCATGCCTTTCGAAAAATCTTTGTGTCTATATAGAAAGTCTCTCCTTTTCACTCCTCTTCTACATTATAATCAAGTGTTTTTTCGCAAAAATAGGAAGTACAGGGTAGGAGCTAGAGCTTCGTAAAATTTATAAATTCGCTTCTTTTTCACGCAAAAGCAGCTTTGAATGAATGAGTACGTGACTGCATATTTATATATATCGGATAAATGAACGTGGAAACGCGTGAAACACCGTCGTCGCAAACGATACATTGTGTTCTATGTTTAAAATTTCGATGAATCTAGGTGTAGATTTTGTTAACTATAGCTGAGTGTAAGTGAAAATATTTTGATGTCGAGAAAAATCAAATTTCCTTGTGCGTACAATATATTGTGACTTTTTAAAAGCGATGACAGAATGTGGGTATGTGTGTGTCGAAATGTCGAGAGAGTAGGTGCATGATTATAACCTTAAAATTGTGTAAAGAAAAGATGTTTGATAATTATATCGTAAGTAATAAAAAATTCTCTCGGTGAGAGAAAAACTCGACCCCCCCCTCTGTAATTTAACCCAAAACTTTTCCACATGCCTCTTGCACTTTTTGTCCGAGTAAGCATGCTCTCGGATGCCTTTTACGGACCGACCGATGCGGCAACAGAACTTTTTAATCGATCTCGTTCTTTTCGATCGCACGAGCTCACCGTCAAGTATAATCGAGAACTCATAAATTTAAAATTGTTACTTTCCTTGATTGTTAATTTTTTATGGAAAGTTCGGGATAAAAGATTTTGCATGTTTCGCTCAAAGAGCTCCGCAATATACTCTTACGTATATTTTGAGCAGATATGGATGTTACGATGGGTGTGTTTTTTTAACTCATTAAGTTCCAAGAGGACGTTTTTTCAACCCTTTATTCGTCCATTGAATTTTTGGTAAAAATGGGATCAAAAAATATGCGAGTACCTAATTCTAATGTAAAATTTAATGCCCTTTCAGAATCTGATCTCAGATTTTCGAAAAAATGATTAGGTCAAAAGTTAAACTTGATTTTATAAAAAAAAACGTGATTTTGAAAAAAAATTTTTTTTATTTTTCGACTTTCCAAATGGAAACCATTTAAAATCTCAAGAGTTTCGTGCAAATATCGCGTCCTCGATATCTAAACTGAAAGTTAGTGGGGTACCGATTGAAAAAATTAATGTTTGAACACAAAAAATGGCGGTCGAAACTCGCAAAATTGAATGAAAACTCATAGAATTTTTTCTCAAAAAAGAAGGACTTGAGAAAAAAGTGTATTTTTTAACTTTATTTTCTTCAATCTAAACCCCACTAACTTTTAGTTTAGGTATCGAGGATGCGATATTTGCACGAAACCCCTAAGATTTCTAATGGTTTTTATTTGGAAATTCGAAAAATAAAAAAAATTTTTTTTAAAAATCATGTTTTTTTGGGTAAAATCAAGTGTAACTTTTGACCTGATCACTTTTTCAAAAATCTGAGATCAGATTCTGAAAGAGCATTAAATTTTACATCAGAATTAGTTACTCGCATATTTTTTTGACCCCATTTACACCAAAAATACAGTGGCTGAATAAAATGTTGAAAAAACGTCCTCTTGGGACTTAATGGGTTAAGCAAATCAAGGATATATCGCACAATACGTAAGATAAACCACCCAGTCGCTGGACAGTTAGTAGCGACGGGGCGGAATATTGATGTTTTGAGCCTCCTGGTGAACATGTAGATATGAATGAATACCTACACGGAAAAACTTTTGACCATGTTTCAGGCTCGAATACATAGAGATACATTCACGCTCTGAGTCGAGCACAATTCATGCTCAGTCCCGAGCGCGAAACGCCCTCGAGTTCTGTCGAGTGCGTATTATGACCGACGCTGAGCAAGATGTTACCCTTAACTTAATCTGGAAAGATATTCGCGCTCGAAGTCGATCACAGTTCATGCTCAGACCCGAGCACGAAATGCTCTCGGGTTCTGCCGATGCGAGCGAATTAATCCTGAATCATGAATTTGAAAGATTAATGTGTCTATATGCGTAACGCAGCACACAGAGTTAGCATGACAGAACATAGGGGAAATATGTTGGATTCTTAATATCTTTTGAAAATGGTTGAAAACACCCATTTATAATTATATCATTCGAAAGCGAATAAGATTTCCTATAACATCTATAATCTTTTCATTTAATAAACTATCATTGGTTAAAATTTCACTTCCATCAAAATATTTTCCATTTTCGCTACAGCCTGCTGAAGGGGGCTTAATATACTGTGTTTTATATTTGCATTGATTTATTTTAAAAAATAGTTTGTAAAACCAAAATGACAGTCATTACATAGTAATTCACTTGACTATAATACTTAATTCATTGTCAAATTGACCAAGTATTACATTGTGGACGGATGTTGCGAGAGTCACCACCCCATATAAATTTCTTATATTCAATATTTATTCATTTTTGTTAAATCTATTCAATAATTGTGACTGAGTGGCTCAAGACTGAGAGTAAATCGTATTCACCGCAACACTGAAACAAACTCAGCCGAACTCGAGCGTGATTTACGCTCAGCCTCGAGCGTCAATCGCGCTCAGTGCTGATGACGAAACGAGCTCAGCCGAACTCGAGCGTGAATCGCACTCAGTGCTGGTTATGAAACGAGCTCAGTAGAACTCGAGTGTAATTCGTTTTCAGTATTCGAGCGTGAAACATGGTCAAAAGTTTTTCCGTGTAGAATGGATCATTTATCTCTTAATCAATCATTTAAAACCACTTAAAGTAACTTTTGAGATGTAGTTTATGAGAAATTTGAATAAAAAGATAACCTCTTCGTGAGGTGCCGTGCCTCTGTCCCGAATTTATATGTGCTATATCGCGTCAACTGTCCCCCCCCCCCCTCAACCCTCCTCTTTTTGTTTTGATTTTTCATATTTTATTCTGCTTCCCAAAGGTGGATATGAAAAAATGATTGAAACATGAT